GTCAATAAGAAGAAGTAATTTCTTAGAAACGTAAGTGAATGTTAATGACATTAAAGGTCATTACATCACACTTAACAAAATCTAATTTGGAACGTACATGTAATGTAAGAATAATTTCTGACTTATGACCCAAGTTTACTTGTGACCCAAGTAATACCATAAATAATATTTAATAAAAATAGATTTTGTCCATACATTGGTTATTTGATGAACGTACCAGATTAAGTCATAACCTCTATAAATTGGTCCTCCCTCCACCCATTAGGGTTACCATATATTCTCTACAATAATTTCATCGCTGACAGTTGTGGTAACGTAAGGTTAGGGTAAAGAGGTAGAAACCAATTTACAACTAACGCTTCCGTTTTTCTCTGTGATGATGTATTTTGCATCAAGTAGATGCCCCTAGCGATCTCTATGTAAGATTATTGTGTTCAAGATCTTGATGTGTATTAAATTATTTAATCTTGCATGTGGTATCAGAGCCTAGATTGTTTGAACGGATAATATTTGGAAAACTGATCGCAATTTTCAAATTGAGAAACCTTTTGCCTTTTAGTCAATGATATGCTTATAAACTTTTACACAAGAAAATCAATGTATTATAGCGTCATTATTGGAAAAAAAATGATTAAAGAAAAAGTTTAGAATTGATGTTTACAGCCATGATGCTTAATCTTTCTAATGCAATAATTATATTCTTATTTTAATTGTGCAATAAATTAAATTGGTCGTTATACTAAGCAATAAATAATAATAATGTGTATACTTATTGCAATATAGTTTGTTAGTCATCAAAGTGGTCAAACTAAAATGTATAAAATTATTCACATGCACAAGATTTTATAATATTATGTGTGCATTTGTATTCATATAACTTGTTAGTCACCAAAGTGGCCAAACTAGTATGGTTAAGAAAATATGCATTCATAAAATTGTCATTTATCTATGAATATTAATTAAATGCCTATATTGAAAAAATAAATAGATAAATTGACTTTCACTATTGCTAGATCATAAGAATTTACTCAAAAATGAATCTATCATTCTACGAATAGTGAAAATTATGAGGTAAATTAATATTTTTAGTCAATCATATATTGTATATCCAATGATATCGTATAGGTTTGATTAAAAATATTCAATTAACTATTAAAGATAAAAATGACATTTAAATTATGATAATGTGTCGTAGTATCTTCCCAAAGGAGAATTACGATATACTTTTACTGCTTACTGAATTCACATTATTTTCTGATTTGTGGGCATGTATATCTATTTTGCAGTTATTCCTCTTTATTCGCGTGATTTGTCTATTACTGTGTTCAATGGATTGAACTTCTCTGAATGGCATGAACAAGTCCAGTTCCACTTAGGTGTGATGGATTTTGACTTGGCTCTGTTGAATGACAAACAGATTGCCATTACTGATAAGAGCAGTGAAGATGAGAAGTCTTTTCATAAATCATGGGAGCGCTCTAACATATTGAGCCTTATGTCCATGAGAATGACTGTTGCTAATAACATTAAGAGTACTATTCCCCAAACAGAAAGTGTCAGGGAATACTTGAAGTTTGTGGAAGAACGTTTTCGTTCTGCTGATAAGTCTCTCGCTAGTACACTAATGGCTGAACTCACGACCATGAAGTTTGATGGGTCACGTAGTATGAAAAATCATATCATCCAGATGGCCAATATTGCAGCAAGACTTCAGACCTTGGGGATGAAAGTGGATGACACCTTTTTAGTTCAGTTTATTATGAACTTGTTGCCTCTTGAGTATGGACCATTTCAAATTAACTATAACACTATTAAGGATAAGTGGGATGTTAGTGAATTGTCCAGTATGCTTACTCAAGAGGAGTCAAGACTTAAGAAACAAGGAGGTCATTCCATTAACCTCATGGGTCAAGGAGCTAGAAAAGGAATTAAAGTTAAGGCCTACAAGTTTAAGATAACAAAAGCACCTGCTAAAGCTCCACAAGATGCTCATAAGGAACTCAAGGTTGATGTGTGTATTTTCTGTAAAAAGGAAGGACATTATCAGAAAGATTGTCAGAAACGTAAAGCTTGGTTTGAAAAGAAAGATATATTTAGTGCTTTTGTATCTTTCGAATCAAATTTAGTAAAAGTTCCTAATAATACTTGGTGTCTTGATTCTGGTGCAACTACTCATGTATCCACTATGTTGCAGGGATTCACTACGATCCAAACTACAAATCCAAATAAGGATTTCTTGTTCGTGGGAAATCACATGAAGGCTCAAACTGAAGGCATAAGGACTTATCGGTTGATCTTGGAGACTGGACATCACCTTGATCTATTACATACTATTTATGTTCCTTTAGTTTCTAGGAATCAAGACTTGATGTTTCTGAATTTGATTTTAAGTTTGGACATGAATGTTTCAATTTATATAAGAATATCATTTTTTATGGTTCTGGTGTTCTTATTGATGGTTTATATAGATTGAAACTCGAAAATAATTTTTCTGAATCTCTTCTTACTATTCATCAAAATGTTGGAATTAAACGTAGTTCACTAAATTAAAGTTCTACTTATTTGTGGCATAAACTTTTAGATCATGTATCCAAAGAAAGATTAAACAGATTAGTAAAGAATGAGATTCTTCTGAATCTGGAGTTTATTGAGCTTGATATATGTTTGGATTGCATTAAAGGAAGCAAACCAAGCATACCAAGAAAGGTGCCACAAGGAATACTCAGCTTCTTGAAATTATACACAGTGATATTTGCAGATCCTTTGATGTTCCATCTTTTGGTGGAGAAAAATATTTTATCACCTTTATTGATGATTTTTCATGTTATGAATTTATTTATTTTTTGAAACAAAAATCTCAAGCAACGGACACTCTCAAAGGGTATGTTAATGAGGTTGAAAGACAATTAGATAGGAAAGTGAAAATCATTAGGTCAGATAGAGGTGGTGAATATTATGGAAAGTATAACGAATCAAGACAATGTCCAGGTCCATTTGCAAAATTCTTTGAAGAACATGGCATATGTGCACATTATACTATGCCAGGAACACCTCAACAAAATGGTATTGCAGAAAGGCGTAATCGAACACTTATGGATATGATTAAGAGTATGATGAGTAATTCCGCATTACCCAAATCATTGTGGATGTATGCTCTTATAACCGTTGTATATTTATTGAACAAGATTCCTAGTAAGACAATTTCAAAGACCCCTGTTGAACTATGGACTGGAAGAAAGCCTAGTTTAAGACACCTGCATGTTTGGGGTTGTCAAGCGCAAACTAGAGTTTATAATCCACATGAAAAGAATTTAGATTCTCGAACTGTAAGTGGTTAATTTATTGGTTATCCAGAGATATATAAAGGGTATAAGTTTTACTGTCCAAATCATAGTTCGAGAATTGTTGAAACTGGTAATGTAAAATTCATTGAGAATGATGAAGTTAGTAGGAGTGTTGAACGACAAAGTGTGAAAATTAATGAGGTAAGGGTAAATATTTCATTACCCATGAATGTACCTACTTCCGCACCAATAACAAATGTTGTTCCTCTTATTGAATAACACTTTACAATGTTTAACAACATTTGGGTGAAACACTTCAAGATGAAACTAACTCACAAGTATCTGACGCAAATGAACCACAGACAGTGTCATTAAGAAAATCTTAAAGAGAAAGAAAATAGATTATTTCATATGATTATGTGATTTATTTGCAAAAGTCAGATTTTGATATTGAAATTAATAAAGATATTTCATTTTCATAGGAAATAGAAAGCACTGAATCTGATAAATGGATTTGATGCATGAATAAAGAGTTAAAATCCATGAAATACAACAAAGTTTGGAACTTCGTTCAATAACCAGAATGTTCTAAAAGAATCGATTGGAGATGGGTCTTCAAGACCAAACATGATTCAAATAGTAATATTGAACGATATAAATCCAGACTTGTTGCCAAGGGATACACTCAAAAGGAGTCATTGGATTATAAGAGACTTTTTCACCGGTCTCAAAGAAAGACTCATTAAAGAATTGTTTTGGCTTTGGTAGCTCATTATGATTTAGAGTTACATCAAATGGATGTGAAAACTATCTTTCTTAATGGAGACCTCAAGGAGGATGTTTATATGGA